TGCTCCCAAGAAGCTCAAAATCCAGAGCACTAGAGGGAGAAGCAGCTGTCACGTTATACCATATGTTTGGTAATAGAGGCTTCTGCACTCTGTAAATGCTGGAGTGGACAGGTGATAACTTGACCTGTCTGGGAAGAGTGAGTAGGTTTATAGGAGGTTATAGGGCAGGATAAAGGGGGAAGGAAGTATATTCTAGGAGGAGGGATTAACATCTGTGAAGTGAGAGAGACACAGACAGAGGCCAGGAAAATCTCTTCTGCATCATTCGTTACGTTTGAGCAGGGCAAATAGGACATGACACGGATCGTGATTTTCAGGAGCTCCAGTAAACCTTGCTGAGGCTGTTCCGGCTCCCAGGACAGTGGTGGTCCTAGCCAAGCATCTGAGCCATCCGGGGGGAACCAGGTAAAAAAAATCTAGATTTCTAACACTTTGGCCACAGAAATTCTCTTTCAAGAAGTGTAAGGAAGAGTTCTAGGAAGGCAGTTCTTTAAATTTCACCCAGTGGCTTTATGCTTCTCAGCTACGCCCAGGATTTCAGTTACTTAAATTGAAATGCTCAGCAGTGATGTTTCTGTAGGGAAGTGGGTACAGCCCTCTTCCCCTGGTGGTTGGTACTCCAGAGCCCAGGGAAATTACATTTGTGTAGTCTCTTGGTCAGTTTCAGGAAGTTGGACTCAAATTTCATGGCCTCAGAATCCCTTCATATTCAAATATTATTGTGGTCCCAAAGAGCTTTTGTAATAGCCTTTGATATTTACTAGATAGAAATTAAAACAAATACTAAAAATATGAAGTAATTTATTTTAATTTTTCTCTTTTTTTTCTTGTTATCTTAAATAATTAAGATAAGCAATGAGTCATTTATTTTAAAATAAACTGAATAACATAAACACATAACAATAATTATATTTTTCAAAATAAAAATGATAGAATGGCAGAGAATTACATTGTTTCAAATTTTAAAAAGTTTCTTCAATGTCTGGCTTAATAGAAGATACCCAATTTGTTGTGATATCACACTTTATACAGGCTCAGGAAAACTATATATTCATGAGAAAATAAGAGGAAAAAAGCAAATAACATCTTAGTGTTATTTTGAAAATGGTTTTGACCTTGTAGATTACCGGATAGAGCCTTGGGGCCCCTTCCCAGGAGTTCCTGGATCATACTTTGATACCCTCTGAATATGTACTAACTCTTAAGACCACCCAGCAAACCATGTCCCACTCCCTAAAACATACGTGCACACAAGTGTATGAGCTTCCTAGTTACTGCCTAGACCAGGGCTCCTCAGACTTTTTAAACGGGGCCAGTTCACTGTCCCTCACTGGAGGGCAGGACTGCGGGCCCCGGGACGAGTCTGCTGCTAAGCAGGACAGGCAGCAGCGGCAAAAACACCCGGCAGGCTGGATAAATGTCCTAGGTGGGCCGCAGTTTGAGGATGCCTGACCGAGACTCTACAAAATATAGAATCTGAGATCACTGCAATGTTTTATTCTATAGAACACTCTGTGAAGTTAGCTTTAGAGTTTTTTAAAGCTGGCCTAGGCTGGATTTGAACCCGCCAGCCTCGGTGCATGTGGTGCATGCGGCGACACCATAACCACTGTGCTATGGGCGTGGAGCTCCTGTGAAGTAGGCTTTAAATGAACATAAAGAAAGTAGCGAAGTACTTATTAAATGAATAATTGTTAAAATATTTATGTTCTGTGTACCCCAATATACTACTTTATCAGCTTAGATATCTTTATAGCCAATCATTTATAATTTGCAATTATTTCCATATAAGTTAATATTTGGGGGCTGATCTTTCCAACTCAGGATAGGCTGAGGGGGTGGGGGGGACTGGGGAAAGGAGAAACATCGGTCAAAGCTTCAATTGGACTGGAGGAATAAGCTCTGGTCATTTATTGCACAGCCTAGTGACTGTAATTAATAGTATTTATTTCAACATTGCTATAAGAGTAGATTGTAAGTGTTTTCATCACAAACAATAAGTATGTAAGGTAATGGATATCTTAATTATCCTGATATGATCATTCCACAATGTATACATATATCAAGACATTGCATTATAACCCATAAATGTATATAATTATAATTTGTCAGTTTTTAAAAAAAGAATAGCACTGGATGGTAGTTAAAATCATGGACTCTGAGTCCATGGAACTTAGCTGAATCCCAGCCCAATACTTAGAGGGATGATGGGTGAATCCCTGAATCCCTTTGAGTTGCAGATTTTTCATTTGGAAAATGAGAATAGCAGTAAAGGTTCCCAACCTGCTGTATTTGTTTCTAAAACTGAAATACCTCTGAAGATGGAAGAATTAGTTATAATTCACCAAACAGCAAAATTTAACATCAACTCATTTAGTGGCAAAAGCTGAGCTGGACAGAGAGGAGGCTCGGTCCACCTGTCCTGCCGGATGAGACTGTTTGCCTGTCTGCCGAAGGAGTTTAATATGCTGATCATGGGTGCTCCCCACGTCATGCGTGGTCTGTATTTGTGAATGCTTCATAATAAACCATATAGGTACTGAATTCCAAAATACAGCTGTCCCAAGGATTTTGGATAAGAGCTTGAGGATAATTAATGGTGCTTCAGAATTAATGTGCTAATAATATATACATAGAATATCTAGAACAGCTCCTGGTACAATACCAGGTTTTGTTAAATAAATAGAGTGTTTTTTCCCAAATAAGCATAGAAATTTTCCAGATAAGAATCGAATAGAAAGCACTTATTTTACTAACATTTCCACTTAAGTGAAAGATTATTTTTGTTTTATTTTTTAGTCTCTTGATTTGGACAATGGAACAAACTAGCAAGCGTCTGTTTCCCTAATTTGTATTGAGATAAAAATAACATGGATGAGGAAATAGTTCATTAGTTTCGTGTGTCTTTCATGTAGTGGGAATGGAAGGTGCTTCAGAGTTTCAGTCCTCCCGTCGGTTCTTACTAAGCACCTGTGGCATGCTGGACCCTGGGATACATCAGTAGGTAACATCCCGTCTCTGTCCTTGAGTCACTCGCTGACTAGTGGGAGAGAAACAGTAGACCAGGTGTCATGCCAAATCAGTTTTTTTAAAAATCAGCTTGGTACTACCCTCAAATGGGAATTGCCAGATAAAATGTAGGACTCTCAGTTAACTTTGAGTTTCAGGGAACCCACGAATAACACTTTAAGCATGGTCCCAAATATTGCACAAGACGTGCTTATACTAATGCAGTATTTGTCATATGCAATATTTGGGAGATGCTTAGAGCTGAAGAATTGGTCATTGTTTACCTGAGATTCACATTTCACTAGGAACTCAGTGTTTTTATTGTCTAAATCTAGCAACCCTATTTATAATCCTGGGCTATTCTCAGCCACATTGGCAAGCTCTGAGGATGAGATAGATGTTATACATACATTGGGTATAACCATTGGGTATAACTTTTTGAAGACTGTATATAAAAGTTTTACAGCCAAGGTGAAGGGAAACCAGCTGGGAATGATGACACACACAGGGCTGGGCCCAGTGGGGCCAGAGAGGTGTGTGGGGAGGGCCACTTGATCGGAGCTATGGCCTTCCCCGAGTGGGAGGAGTTCAGCCAGCAGAAACTTATTGTGGAAGAAAGGGGCAAAAATACAACAAAGCTTTTTTTCTTTTAGACAGAGTCTCACTGTGCCACTCTGAGTAGAGTGCTCTGGCATCATACATAGCTCACAGCAACCTCAAACTCTTGGGATCAAGTGATCCTCTTGCCTCAGCCTTCTGAGTAGCTGGGACCACAGGCACCTACCACAACATGCAGCTAGTTTTAGAGACAGGGTCTCGCTCTTGCTCAGGGTGGTCTCAAACTCCTGGGCTTAGGCGATCCACTGCCTCAGCATCCCAGAGTGCTAGGATTACCAGTGTGCCCGGCCTCACAACAAAGCTTCACCCTGCGCCCTCCCTCCCTCAATCTGCTCCCGCCCCCAATCTTCTGGGAGTGTCTCCCCCTACCTAGAAGTCAGAAGGCAAAGGGGTCAGCACTGGCTGATACACACACAGGGAGGACAGTGGTCCTGCAGAGGCAGATGGGAACAGCCAGCACAATTCTGATGTGCCCCTGCCTGGTGTCTGGACCGGCTTACAGCAGTAGCAAGCTGGCAGGGGGAGGAGAGAGAGGGAAGAAAGAAAAGGGAGAGAGAGTCACAGGCTGAATTTTGAAAGTTAAGGGGGAAAAGAAGTAAATCAGCATCACCAGTGATTCTAATTAAAAGTAATTTTGTTACTACCAGATACTGACTCTTCTCCCCCACCTTGAAATAACCATCACAATTTCTTCTATCAATTAATGGATAGAATCAGGGTACGCACACCCCCATTTTGATTCTTCCTACAGACTCTGCGTTTGCACAGTCCTGGAATAAGGACCTTCTTAAAGGGGGCTCTGGTGCTTATTTGGCCCACCCTGCCCCAGCCTGGCCTCGATGGGCTGGGGGTGGGATTAGTTGGCCTCCATCCTCCATCAGGTGGGGAAGGGCACAGACCCCAGTGAGTCCTAGTACGGGGACACTGTTCTGCCCCTTTAGTCTTTTCTCCCATTCGCACAAGGCAGAGCCTGTTGTGCTTGATCAAATCCTCTGGCCAGAGAGCTTTCATTTTATCAGTGAAAATGGTTTATAATACGTGGGCCATGATATTTAATAGCCAGCTGGAGAAGAGGTGACAAGGATTTTTCAATTACTTGGCCACATCTGGAATGAAGACTCTTTCACCAGGGCTCTTCAAATAAACGCCAGCTAACCGCCTGCAGAGAGGGCCTGAATGGAGGGGGCACTTCAGATGTTTGCCAACGGGGCGTAAATGAAAAGTAGCTCACACGTGCTGGGCACAGATGGCCTTTTTAACACAAAGTTGTTAAAGTACGTTCCAGATGATCTGCCCCCAGGATCGAGTCTCTGTTCTTGTCTGTGATTGGCACCGTGGGCTCATCTCTGTCCTTTCTCCTTTCACAATTACAGTTTCCCAGGCAAGGCTTGCAGCAGACCCAGCAGCAGCAGCAGACGGCCGCCTTGGTGCGGCAGCTCCAGAAACAGCTTTCCAGTAAGTACCCCCGTCAGCCATGGAACAGATGGCTCCCAGCAAATTCAGAGTAAGCAAAGCACAAGTGGTGGCTTCCCCCAAACGGCACTGCCTTCTCAGTCCAATTTTCATAGTTTTCGGTTTAGTTCGGGGTGTTTATTCTGTCTTGCTTTGGTTTTGGCTTGAATGTTTGACCCCCTCCCACCCCACCCAGGAAAACCACCCCTCTCTTCTTAAATTCAGTGAAGGTATTTCCCTGTTGCTCCCATCAGAACCTGGAGTGTTTCTGTTCATGTTGGAGACTGTAGAACTGCATGCTGGAGGGGCAGGGAGCCATTCAGCTGATGCCCTAGTTCATACAGATGAATGAGCTTAGGCAGCCTCCCTAGGTCTAGAGATACAGGAAAGCCAGCACTGGATGGTGACTGCCTTGCCACTGCACATCCTCCCCTTCCTGATGGTGACTCGGAGAAAGAAAACCTGTAGTGTCCCAGGGAGCCCAGCAGGGCCGTGCTTTCTCCCCCAGCAGTTTTGCCTGCAGTGTCTTTTTTAATTGTGCTGCCTCCCCAGAGCGCATACCAACAGCCCATTTCATCACAGGTCACTTCTCTGCCAGCAGTGAGCTCCCATGAATTGAATCGCCCTGTGCTAGAGTTGCGAAACAGGAAATTTTCTTAGAAGTGGGAGCAAGCCCCTATATAACATAAAGAATATTGGCCTGGCAGTCAGAAGACCTACATCTTGGTGCCAGCTTGGCCACCGTGATCTGGGTCATGTAGCTTTTTCATCTGTGCAGTGAAGAGTGAGACCCGCAGTTTCCTCTGGGCCTCCAATTTTGTGCTTCTGAGGTAGAGAGTACAGACTGCTGTGGGCTGAAGGCAGTGCGGCAGCTCTGGGAGCCTGCTGAGACTGTAAAGGGATAGGTCATTTAATGACTGAGAGGCAGCTGGGTTTTAGCCGCAATTTCTGCCTGCCTGCTACATGCAAGTTCATTTTCCGGCAGAGGGAATGCACTTACGTACCTTGGTGTCTGTACCAGTGCAGACCCAAGATCTATTTTCTTCTTCAAACTTATTTCTCTCTAATAGCTTCATTTAATTTCAGTTAAATCCAGCAAATCAATCTTTTTTAGCTACTGTTTAATAGATAGAATCTATTAAACAAATTTATAATTAAGATTTCATCGCATTTTATTAATTCTGGCTCTCACATTCTTGCTGAGAATATAATCTTGTTGATTTTTAAATACTAGCACTGGTTTGGGGGAAAATAATCCACTCTTACTTCACATCTACCAGAGTTCAAATAATGCAGCTTGCTGTATTTTTTTTTTAAAGCTGTCATTTCTGGAGCACTTTCTTGGACCCAGACACCTGGGAAGCTTTACATGTATTAATTCACTTTATTCTTAAACCAACTTGGGAGATTAGGTATTGGTGCTGTTCCCATATTATAGAGGAACCAGCTGAAGAGTAGAAATGTTGGCTAATTTTGCCCAAAGTTACTCAGCTGACACAAAAGAGAGTTGGGACTTGAACTCCAGTGGTTTCCTGCCAGAGCCTGCCTCTTAAGCACATAAGAATATATACTTAAGCACATACAAAAGTACATATTCTGCCTGATACTAGCAGTGACGATGCCAGCCCTTTGTTGAAGAGTGGCAACCAGGCCAAACTGCCCAGCGCGTAGCTCCGGAAGGCTCCCTTTATATCATGGCTCATGTGAATAGGGCCTTTGGATCTGAATAACCCAGAGTTATAAAAGCGGTAGCTGTTTCTGTGTCAGTTTTTGGTCCCTACGGACTGCTCTTTATTTTTTCTGTGTGTGTGCGTGTGTGCTGGGCACGCGCTGAGTCGACAGTCACCCTCTCTGGCACCTGCATACGCTCTCTCACACACGGTCACTTGGTTCTGTTGTTATGTTTCTTATGGTCATTTGCAAAAAGTTGCCCAATTCCAATCTTAAGTTTCTCTTTCCTATTATGTCAGTGTTGAAGAATTGCTGACTTGCTCTTATAAAGATTTTGATAACTTCAGTGTTATGAAAACTTTACAGGAATGATCCTCTTGCCTGTCAGGATTGGGGCATCACTCAGAGGGAGTCACTTTGGATGGCCAGTTACCTCAGTCCTGAGGCCTGGGCATTGGCAGGGGTGGGGGCCGGGGTAGTGCTGGCTCCTCTGAGTGAACCGAGGGGTGCCCTTTTGACACTAGGGTCTTTTTAGGACAAGGGTCGTATTCTCTGTCTAAGCAGTCTGTTCCCTCATACCTGAAGGTGGTCCCAAGACCAGTGACAGGGTTGTAAAATCTGTGGTATAATTTTGTGTCTGTAGTTTTATTTGAAATTGTTTTACTCATTAGGTAACCAGCCACAGCAAGGAGTGACTTCTTACGGGCATCCCTCCCACTTCTGAACCTGCGCGCCAAGGAGCCGTGAAGTCTGTGTTTGCACTGAAAAACAGAGCATCGAGTTTAAAGCATTAGTCATCCTTGAAAACGTCCCTTTTTTCTTTCTTTTTTTGACATTTTACGCTACATCTCACACAAAGATGTTTAAACAAAAAGCCAAGGAGAAGTTGTGGTTTGATTTTATCACTTTCAACTTTAAAGTAGGTTTAAAAATGTGGATCATGCAGGCCAACTCCGGGAAGAGTGTGGTAGCAGACCTTTGGAAATTGGTGCTTTTTTGAATCTCTTATTTACCGAAAGAATGAATTATGGTGGATTTAAAATGTTTATGTATTTCATTCATTAATGGTGGCTTTTTTTTTTAACCCTCCTTTTCTCCCCCCCCCCCCGCCCCAAAACTGTGCTGGACCAAACTACTGATTTGAAAGTCATGTCAGATCTTAACAGGAAAGTGACCCATTTATTCTGCATTCACCTGTAATGGTGAAATGGACATTTATTTGCATCACTCTAATTTGAAATGTTTATAATTTCATAAGCACTTTATAAACTTTGTTCTTATTTATGTAGGACCTTTCTTTGCTTTTGATGTGGTCAAAAGGTGCTGAAACAGATTGTTGCTTAGTACTTAGATTTCTTAAACCAATAACTTAAACCAAGGTTTCTACATGTACCACCCTAAGTAACATGTACGGAAGCCTGTTAGAAGTAGGTGTACTCAAATTTGTTTTCAGTGGCAAGATCATTGGCCAGAGTCTTTGTGAAGGTACAGCACGTAAACTCTAAAGGTCTGAAAGAACCACGCGGAATCGTTCCAATTATTTATCGCCAGTCTTGGTTCTTCTGAACCTTATGCCAACTTGGGGGAAAAAAATTAGCAGCTGGCCTGAGATTCCATAGAGTTCAAACTCAACGTGGTTTCCAGAGAATCTGGTCCCAAAGTCCAGGGGCCTCTGGTTTTCATGAAAGGTGTATTTGCTGTTTATTTTGTATGGTAAGTATTTGCTATTTTGAATTTATTAATGTTGGTGTCAGTCTTGGTTGTGTATTGCATATACTGTATTTATAAATCGGTGCAAAAAGCACAAGTAAATTATACATCAAATTTATTATAAAGAAATAGTAACTATTTTAACTTTGTTCAAGTATGTGGTAATTTGCTCCTATTAGAGTAAAAAAAAAAAATAACAGTAAATTATTATCAGTTTGTGTAACTTAAGAGTATTCCATATGATATTTTTTTAGATTTAGATGCATAAAATTTTGAATGTGAAAATTGCAGGGCATTTAAAAACATATGTGGGGGATATTTTCCCATGTTCTGTGTAAATCCATTTTCTTTTGCCATATGATTTTACATGTAATGTAGTCGCACATACTGTGAATAGATTTGTCTATAACAAGCAAACCATGTAGGTCTACTTTATTTTTTTTTTTTTGAATGTAGCTAGTATAACTTTAGTAGGTGATTTCTTTTGCAAATCATTATATAAATAATTTATCTTCCTAGGTGAGTTTCTCATTGCAAAGTTTGACTCATGCAAATGACCTCAAATACTTGTCAGCTTACTTTGCTGTGGCAACATCCATGTGAACTGCTTTGTACACTGTGAAAATATCTCACTCCAGCCTGCTCACTTTGTGTTTACTCTGGGCTGGAAAAGACTTTGCCAAAACATTAAAGACCATTCTTTTCACTAAATTAACATAGTCTATCTGCTTTCAGAAGATGTATCTGTACATTTCAGCTGGTTTTGTACTATCAGGTTTTTTTCCCCCGATCAAGATTCATCCTCTTGGAGTTCATGAAGTTGTTTTTCTTCCAAGTAATATATGCATACGATGGCTGCATTGGCAACACAACTGAAATGTGAATGTTTGTTGTGCCTAGTGAGTCCTGTTCCGTCCTTATTCAGTTTCTTTTCAAGAATTAGAGGTATTAAAATGCCAGTTTCCGTTTGAACCGTATATTTTTGTAGCTCAACCTTGCAAACAGCAGTAACAACTATTTCAAGAATGTTAATAATCGCATAGCATTTGTATGCACTTTATATTTTGCGGAAGTTAATTTATTAATCATTTTGCACATGAAAGTTGTATACCTTTATTGTTGTGGCTAGTTTTTTTATTTTATTTTTTTAGGTGAGGAAGCTAAGGTCATAGGAAGGCCCAAGATTTTATGGAAAGCTGAGGAAAAAGCAGTTGTTTCCCCCTGTGCATGATCAAGAAAGCAACTGGAATTTAGTCATTTCATTTTCTCCTATGTAATCCTCTATCTTCAGAGGTTTCTACTTTTTTCTTTTCTAATAAATGCATTAGTTTGAATGAAAATGATCGCAAGGGAAAGCCAGGAGGCAGAACCTGGCAATTTTCTTGGTGAGACAGAGAAGAGGTGATCTTAAAATAAGATGGAGACCCCAGGTCCCCTCGAAGATAAGACCTTGACAGTTAATGGAGTTGGCTGAACTGACCACAAATCCTGGATCAAAGAAGCCCATAGAGGACATACTTGTTTACACTGCAGGCTTGTTCCTCATAGGGTTGCCTTTGTCATTTTATTTATCCTTCTCGGCCCAGAAGTACAGGGAGATCATTTTACAGTGAGCACCTTTCACCTCTTGCAGCCACGAGGCCGAACCTCAGAGACCAGTAGCAAATCAGTTCACCTGTTAGGTGAGGCCAGCTGAGAAACAGTGTAGGGAGCTCATCCAGCAGGCTCATGCGATCGGGGCTAACGCAACTCTTGGTTTTGTGTCCTGAACAAGACCTGTGGCTTTTTTATTTTTTTCATTTATAAAGCTCCTACAATTATTAAATAGTGAATATTGGCATAGATGGTTAGAGAAATTTCGCTGGCCAGTCCTCGCTCCTAGAGTTAGAAAAGATGAAATCATATAATGTCTACGAAATTAATTCGGCTTGAATTAAGCATGTAATATAAATTCAGTGAATTACAAAAAGCAACATTTGTGTAGGGTTGATCAGATTTTAAATACAGTGAAACTTCGTTATATAAAATGGATTTAGACCCTCCCGTTCTCCCATCACATAAAACAAAACTGTCATTTAATGAAATAAATTCATCATAAGGCAATGTTTTCTTCTCAGAAAAATTTCCTTAAGAACAGCTCTCAACCTAGGGTGCCTGAGTAGATTTTAAAGTTACAAAGAAGTTTCATTGTATTGTAAAAACCTTTTTAGTGGGTGTGTATTTGGACAAAAATGACTCCCCGCTTTCACATTTGATGATGTTGCAGGTGTTCCCTTGCTTTTAAACCTGTGAAAGAGTTACCCTGCATTTATTTTTAAATGCAGTTATTAAAACATTTTTGTATGTCTCCATCAATGAGAATTTTCAGTGTGAACCAATGGTGAATCATAAAACAGTTCAGTGCTTATTTTCTGTAGGTTTTAGCAAAATATTTATAAACCGACCACAAAATATTTATACATCAAGATGACAAATTTACATAAAGACTACAGGTTTGATTTCCCCCATCGTCTCTGTCCGGAGTGCCATGCTTATAACATGGACAGAAAGTGGACACTAGGCAACCAGTACTAAAAGAAAAAAGTGAATGTTTTTACTGAAAACTTCAGGTACGTTAGCCACGTGTTATTTTATGGTGGACCGTTCTCTCTTAATGTTCATTTGTTGGCAAAATAAAAGTGCCTTAAGTTAAAAGTTTGTTTTGAGACCCCTTAAAGAAATCAGTATCAGTTCATAACGCAATTGATTTACGTCTCTTTCTGCATGTCCATTGTAAATTTAATATTGTAAATGTATTCAGATCATTTACACGCCTATGGCTGCCTTTGATTAAACTTCTTCCAAAAAATAAAGTCTGTCCAGATTTTTAATTTTAATTCTACTCCATGTCAGATTACTTGAATATACGTTGTCGCATGATCACTACCAAGTGGGTTTTTTGCCGTGCATCTGTATATCCCAGAATCGGAGGCTTGGGGGCTCTGAATGACGAGGGTACCCTGCAGGTGAAGCTGCTCATGGCCATGTTTTCTCCCTTGACTCGCCATTGACAGCAGGGAGTGGTCCGGGGCCTCCCACGTGATTTCTGGCTTTGGAACTCCCAGGGCCAGACACTGGAGCTGAAAGGCTGCTCCTGTCCTTGTGAGGATGCTCCTGGGTGGGCGGCTTGTGATTCTGGGAGGATAGGCTACGATCATTACTGGGATGGTGATCAGTGCCTGACCGATGCTATTTTGAGCCTTACAAATGTAGTTTCCTCTGTCATAAGCTGTTGCTGCTTTAATGACTAGGGTGCCATTGTCGTGCAGTATGTATTTCCCATTAACGTGAGGCCTGTCTAAGACATACCCACTGGGCACCGTCCATCTGATGCTGGGCTTGGGGATTCCATCAGACACACAGTGCAGTGAGAGAGATTCCCCACTGATACTTCTTACCGTCCCTCCTGCATGGGTAAGAATAACCGGCTTCTGGCCAATTTCTAAAATGATCAGTTTCTCAATATAGCCAACTTGATTTCTAGCTGCACAGCGGTATTTTCCAGCGTTGTCCCGAGTTGTCTTATAAATGATGAAAGAACCATTGCTTGCTATCAGATATTGAGAAGGTTGTGGTCCATTGGAAAATCGTGTGCCATTGGGTAAAATCCAGATCATTTCAGGTGGTGGGTTGCCATCAACAGAGCAATTCAAGGCTGTGGACTTGCCAAGCTGGGCAACTATTTTTTCATTAAAAGGATTTCGGAATGTCGGTCTTCTCAGCATTTCCAGAACTTCTAACTGTACCACCAACACGCTCTCTCCTCCTTCATTTCGAGCCACACAGACAAAATCGGCTGAATCCGAAAGCCTCACGTTCCTAATCTCCAGGGTTCCGTTTGTGTAGACGCTGATTCTGCCCCCGTAGTACGGGGCTGTGAGGAAAACATTGTCTGGCATGACCCACATGACTTCAGGAGAGGGCGTCCCTTCAGCTCGGCAGTCAAAGTGTTTTTTGGAATGCCTCACAGCTGTAGTTTTAATAACAGTTTTGTTCGTGTACAGACCATTGATTAAAGGAGGCTTAGAGACAACATCCAGTTTGTACATTCTGGTGTCATCCCCGCTGGGATTTCGGGCTACACACACGTACTCTCCAGAATCGAGCAGTTTCACTCTGTTGATCGACAAAGACCCATTGGCATGAAATGTGTACCTACCACTGGAGACGGAAATCATGTCGTTAGAAGGCAGCAACCAAAATATTTGGGGTTTGGGATCCCCAGTGACCTCACAGTCCAGGAGCGCAGTGTCTCCAGCTTTGATTCTTGAGTTGGCCTTGGAACTCTGCCTTATCCGCGGGGCAGCTGTTAGAACCGTTAGGTGCACCTTCATTTCATCCTTCCCTAGGGTGTTCTGGGCATAGCAAGTATAATCTCCTTCCTCTGCTATCCCAACTTTGTTGAAATACAAGGTTCCATTGTCAAAAAGGACATACCTCCTGGTCCTGTGGCCACTGTCATCTGCTTGCATTGCATTGTTGATCATCCTTCCGTCAGGCAGACTCCAGGAGATCTCAGGCACCGGGGAGCCGGAAGCTTTGCAGTCAACTTGGAAATCTTTCCCGTGAAGCACTTGCTTTTTAAAGTACTGCTTGTGGTCAATTTTGGCAGGTTTCAGTCTCAGGCTGACGTGCATCAGTATCAGATCGTCTCCCATTTTGTTTCTTGCCACACACAAGTAGTTGCCACCATCTTTTTCTGTGACAGATCCAATAAACAGGGATCCGTTTGGGTAGACATGGATTCTGCTGCCCATCCTAAGGAGAAAAGAGACGAACGTGAGTGCAGCTGTTAGTGGGAAGGAAAGACATCTTATTTACACAGGATTAGCTCTCCATTCCCCAGCTTTATTAAAGCATGATTAACATAAATTAGGTATGCAACATGATGTTTTGATAGAGTGAAAATGATCACCACAATTAATCTACTCAGCATGTCCATAACTTCGCCTGGTGAGAAATCCACTATCTCTAGTGTTCCTCTCCTCATTAATCTTTAATTATCATAGAAAGGAGATTAAGTCCGTGTGAGAAATACTACTTTGCACTACCTTATACCTGTTGAGTTAGATAATTCTTTTACAGCTTACAAGACAATAAGCTAGTAGTGATTTCAGTTTTTATGGGATTAACTCTAAAATGTTGCAGTAAAAGTTTAGTTGCTCAGAAAAAACGCCAGCCACTTTTTTAAAAAGTTATTAGTAACAAAACCATTATTGAACTATTTGTTTAGAAAATCAGCCTACTTTTATTAGAGAGAATGCCAGTGTAAAGCTCTTTGGAAGCTTGTTGCAGCATCGGTCCTCTGTGGGCGGGTATAAAGTGACTCTGGTTTCTGCATGAGGTGAACTGTGGCAAACCATTTTTCTCATGGATACAACCGCTGCACAGCCTGCCGTTACCACATTTAACCACTAGATGGCAGATATTTCCTGTTTTTTTTTTTTCCAAAAAGACCAGGGGAATTAAATTGGTACTAGAAGTGGGATCAGGGATAGCCGACGGTGAAAAATTGATGTGTTTTTCTTACTTTTTGGCAACATGGGCTAAGCGGGCAGATAAAACTGGAGAGAAAAGTGAGGACTACTTTTTATAGCATAACCGCTAACCAAGTCAAACAGCCTCAAGTTATTTTTATTTTCCAAAAAGCCTAAGTATGGAGAGCATTACAAAGCATTACAGGGGTGTCCTTTTAACCCCCTAAAGTGTGAATCCATAAGAACTCCCATAAGAACCCCAAGGTAAAATCACATAATGAATGCACTTAATAAAGGAAGTGGAAAAGGTCGGGTGCTGTGCATGGACTTTTTGATCTTAAAGTTGTTTCTTTCCTCACTAATCAACTGAAAAATTGAAATTCAGAGAGATTTAGTAACTTGCCTTTGTTCACAGGTTGGTTCTCAATCCCTGTGCTTTCCAACATGCTACACTGCCACCTTCTATTATTCTTTCCCCATGCTTGCTGGAAGCATTGGTTCTCAAACTGCATGTTAAAATTATTTGTGGAGTTTAATACTGATGCCTAGTTTTCCTCTCTAGAATTTCTGACTTAATTGGTTGGAGCATAGCCTAGGCATCAGTGTTCTGAAAGTTTTCCAGATTAAAGCTTTTCCTGTGTGGCAAAGTCTAAGAACCACTGCTCCAGTTGTTGGTTTTCAATAGAGTAACCCCCATCACTAACATCAGGATTATGTATTAAATTTAAGAATACATATCCTGACTTTAATTTTCATAAATTCAATAGATCTGGCCAGAGAACTAGAAACCCACTGTTTAATAGACTTCCCAAATGACTTACAAGTTTACAGACAATTAAGTTTGAGAACCAGCCCCGAATTGTAGTGTGCAACGTCACCTGGAGGGCTTTTAAGAATGCAGATTGCTTGATGAAACATAAAATCAGAGTTTCTGGTTCAACAAGTTCCCAGGCATTGCTAATGCTGCTGGCAGGGTGCTACACTTTAAGAACCATTGGCTTTAGAGGGGTACACCTTATCTTCCCCAAGTCTGATGCAACTGAAGGCTGTGATTTGTAAGAAGAGACTGATGTTAAGAGAATTTAATTTTGAAAGAAGTTTTTCTTGGGTAAATAAAATAGTATTCTTTATAATGATCAATGAAGGAGCAAGCACCTTCAGCCTTTCCAAAGCACCGCTCCTAGAATGTTATGGTGCTGATTCACCAGGAAATATTTCTTAAAAAGCAGATTCTGATTCCGCAGGTCTGCGGTACTATAACAAGCTCCCAGGCCATAAGGAGTGAGGTTACAGAAGAAAGAAATCTATTTGTATGTTGAAACATATGTCACATAAGTTTTATTGAACGTAGTGGAGATAGACTAACAGTGCTGAATCATTAAAAAAAAAAAAGGACTTTTTAGTTTTGCTGACAAGCAGGTTTAAAGAAAATGAAAGGATTTTACTTGACTTGGGCATGGTGGGGTGGACTTGGATCAGCAGAGCCACAGTTCTCTTATTTTTAGAATCTAAAATCAAACTTTTAATGCTGAGAGGTGGGTAGAGTAAGAGTTTTTTAGTTTTTGTTTTGTAATAGAACTGCCCTTTTTCTTTCTATTAACATATTTAAAGCACAGAAGAAGTAAAGAATATACTTGCCTTTTTGAGTGAGTTAGTTACAAAATAATCACTGAAGCATTTAGTTAACAAAGTTCTATTTCCTTAGAAGAATGCAGCGCCTCTGGTGCAGCCATATGGTATCTGTGGTCTTAAACACTCTTTTGTTCTTCTGCGACATGGGCAACCTTGCTATGTTCCATAACTATTTTCCCAAAACAAAATTTCTTTGCTACTTAACTCTGAAGGATTTGTTGGAAAACTTGGTCAAGGTTCATTCTGAGATGATGATACTGAGTTTTAGAGTACTTTCCAGAACTTTTTTGGACTAACTTTTTAAGACACTCCTTTATATTTTTTCGTAAGTCCTAATAAAAGATTTCCATTTTCTAAAGTTGACCTGATGCCCAGAGAATATTTTGGACCTTGTCTTTACAACCTAAATTTTGAATTTTATCTGTTATTCCTGTCACGAATGTGATGCTTTCTACAATTCTTGCACTGGTGACCTGCAGGAGTCGTTCAGAATTACACAGAGTAATAAGCAGTGTCTGAGTAAATGACAGTCATCCCATGTGCTATGGAATTTAAGTGCATTAATTTTAGAAAGTAGAACTGGCGTCCAATAGTGATGCAATGCTTACAATAACTTGAAGGGAAAAAGAGAGAGAGAGATGCTGTTACTGCAAAATTAAAGGCAAAACCTGATAAATAAAGCATTGAAAATATTTGATGCCTTGAATAAAGTAGAATTAGGGTATATGTATATTGGATAATAAACGTGAACTTGATTTCTAAAGTTCACATTTCATAATTCAGCATATTGAAATTTTCAAACTATACTAATTTCTTTCTTTTTTTTGAGACAGAGTCTCACTTTAGTGCCCTTGGTAGAGTGCTATGGCATCACAGCTCACAGCAACCTCCAACTCCTGGGCTTAGGGAATTCTCTTGCCTCAGCCTCCCAAGTAGCTATGACTACAGGTGCCCGCCGCAATGTTCGGCTATTTTTCTGTTGCAGTTTGGCTGGGGCCGGGTTTGAACCTGCCACCCTTGGTATATGGGGCTGGTGCCCTACCCACTGAGCCACAGGCGCTGCCCAATCTATACTAATTTCAGTTTGACATTTAGTCAGATAATTTTGATGACTTCTTTGAAAAACTTGAAAATTAACATTTACTTTTGAATTAAAGAACACACATGTGAAATTTAATAACAATATTCAGTACAACTCATATTGTGACCCCATAAAAAGGTCTATTCTACTCCTGAGCATGAGTACAAATTCATATTGTGTACAGTTTTTCTTTCTTGGATATTTTCAAATGTATAAAATGTAAATGCTCGACCCTATCT